CAGGAGCTGGGGCGCTCTAGCCCGGGGGTTCCTCTGGGTCCCGCCTGGATGGATGAGCGGTTGGGGGAGGTCTCAGGCTGAGAATCCTGGCTCTAGGCTGAGCCCCGTGTCCACATATCCCCCCCCCAGCTCTCCTGCCCGTGTGGTCAGCGAGCCGCCCGCCAGGACCTTCAGCACCAGCACGCTGGAGGAGAGGGGGAGGGAGAGCTCCAGCAGGCCCGCCGCCCGGCGTGGGAGGAGAAGGAGGCGCAACCCCGCGCTGGACGAGTCCCAGTACGAGACGGACTACACCACAGCCATGGAGTCCAGCGACGAGCAGGACAAGGACGAGTGGGGCAGGTGAGGGGCTCGCTCTCCCTGGCGCGTCCATCAGTGACCCCTGGCTGCCTCTGCAGGGCCGGGGCTCCTGGGGCCATCCCCCGGCAGGGTGTCTAGCACCAGAGATAGCTGCTGTTAACATCACAGGCTGGCCCAGGGGGGAGCCGAGCATGCCCCGGGCAAAGTACTGCACACCGGAAAACACAATCCCAACTATACATAGACAATGATGGGGTCTAAATTAGCTGTTGCCACTCAAGAGAGAGATCTTGGCGTCATTGTGGATAGTTCTCTGAAAACATCCGCTCAATGTGCAGCGGCAGCCAAAAAAGCGAACGGAGTGTTAGGAATCATTAGGAAAGGGATAGATAATAAAACCGAAAATATCATATTGCCCCTGTATAAATCCATGGTACGCCCACAGCTTGAATACTGCGTGCAGATGTGGTCGCCCCAGCTCAAAAGAGATATATTGTACTTGAAAAAGGTTCAGAAAAGGGCAACAAAAATGATATGGGGTATGGAACGGCTGCCGTATGAGGAGAGATTAATAAGACTGGAACTTTTCAGCTTGGAAAAGAGACGACTAAGGGGGATATGACAGAGCTCTATAAAATCATGACTGGTGTGGAGAAAGTAAATAAGGAAGTGTTACCGACTCCTCATAACACAAGAACTAGGGGTCACCAAATGAAATTCATAGGCAGCAGGTTTAAAACAAACAAAAGGAAGTATTTTGTCACACAAGGCACAGCCAACCTGTGGAACTCCTCGACAGAGGATGTTGTGAAGGCCAAGACCATAACAGAGTTCAAAAAAGAACTAGATACATTCATGGAGGATAGGTCCATCAATGGCTATTGGGCAGGGATGGTGTCCCTAGCCTCTATTTGCCAGAAGCTGGGAAGGGGCTGGATCACTTGATGATTCCCTGTCCTGTTCATTCCCTCTGGGGCACCTGGCACTGACTACTGTCGGAAGACAGGACACTGGGCTAGATGGACCTTTGGTCTGACCCAGTCTTGCCGTTCTTATGGTCTTATGTTATGCCATGCAGCTGGACCAGGATGGGGATCCAGGCTGCCCCGTTTGGCCTGTGGGGGAGGGCTACTCCGGGGAGGCGGGAGGGGGATCTGGTCACGCCAGCTTCACTGACATTTTGACGCGTCGTGCTGGCATCCCGATGTGATGTCGTTGTCACAGCGATGACCTCATGCAGTGATGTCACCATGTGCCGTGGCAGCAGCATCTGGGGGACACCTGTGTTCCTCCCCCGTCAGATAGGCCGGTGGCACGGCCCTCCTGTAAGTCCAGTAGCCACCTGCCCGCTCCCGGGTTGCTGGTGCAAGAACAATGCTGCGTGGAAAGAGATTGCAATGATTCGGGGGCGGAGAGACTCATCCCCTCTACAAACCAGCCCCAGAGCACCCCCCATCGAGTCCCCAGTCTAATCTCTCTCTCTCCCTCTCCTCCGGCCGGGCAGCGCGTACCCCCCCATCACCTCGGACGGCATTCGCCAGGAATACAAGCAGGAGTTCGACGCCGACCTCAAGCACTACAAGCAGCTGTGCGCCGAGATGGACGACATCAACGACCAGCTGAACCAGCTCAGCAAGCAGCTGGACGGCTTGTCGGAGGACAGCCCGCAGTACCAGGTCAGCGCGGGGCCAGGTCGGGGCTGTGCTTCTCCGACTGACGTGGAGGCTAGAGGTGTTGTATCACGGTAGCGCCTCTAGGGCTCAGCAGAGCTCAGGGCCCAGTTGTGCCTGGCGCTGCACAGACACCAAGAGACTGGCCCTACTCCAAAGAGCTCACAGGCTAAACAGACAAAGGGGCCGTTGTCGCCCCATTTTGCAACCAGGGAACTGAGAACCAGAGAGATTCAGTAGCAGAGACAGGAACTGAACTCAGGTCTCCTGATTCCCAGCCCAGTGCCTTATCTACAGGGCATCCTTCCTGCTACTTCACCCCTCTGCAGAGGGACCAGCACCGAGGGGGATGTAAGTCTCAGTGGATAGCTGATGCTCGTCTGTTTTGTTCAGGGACCCACCCTGCCCCTGTGGAAGCCGACAGGGAATTTTGCCCAATCAGTGTGAGCTGGAAGACATCTCTTCTTCTCCTTCCCGAGCTCCAGCCCCTGCCCAGCCCACGCTGATTCCACCAGCATGCAGTGACGGGCTGCCTTGGGAAGACTTGCTTTCTGCAGTGGGGCGGGCTTTCCATACAGTAGCCTGAAAGGGCTTCTTTGTCAGCCCTCGCCTGGCGCCATCACCTGTGCTCTCTCGTTAGGTACGCTGCCGAGTGACGGCTCCGGAGTAATTATCTGCTGTGCACATAACATGGCCCTCTCCTCCCGGTTTTTCTTTTTCAGGGAGTCGCCGAGGAATACAACCGGCTGAAAGATTTAAAACGGGTGAGTCGCCAAAACCCAGCTTGTCTCTGTGCATATTCCGTCTGTCTGATCTCCCTTAGGGATTTGTGTGTCTGTCCAATTTCCCCTAGCGATTCAAATAGCATCCCAGAGTGTGTGTCCTCAGACAAGGCCTTAGCCATTTCCCACTTCAGCCGCCTTAGAACTTGTCTACACATGCAAGCGGCACCGGCTTAACTTAAATCAGTTTCAAACCCAGATGTGATTAAACCATTGAAAGCCCCTATGTGCCGGCGTGGATATCGGCTTGAATCTGGTTCTGTCGGTTTAGCTGAACGCCTGTCAATTTTCCTAGGTGAGTGAAATCATCGGAATGAGGCTTAAACCGATGTCAGGGTGTCCACACACAATGTTGCACCAGTTTTCAGTTTAAAATCTCGTGTTGAGTTAGAGCGGGGCAGCTCTGTGCATGTAGACCAGGCCTTGGGGTGACTGATTGTCTTTTTCCCCCTTTTAAGTGAATGTGTGGCTCAGTCTGGACTGAGAGCCCGGAGCTGGAGTTCTGTGTTTCTTCCCAGGGCAGGGGCAGCATGGCTTTAGTGTGTGTGTAGCCGGCCATGTGGCTGGAAGGGCCCGGCTAGGGTGGGAGGTTCGCTCCGTTCTGTGTGCCTGGTCCTGAGCATTGCTGTGCACACGCCGTTCTCACTGAAGGCGGTGGGAGCCCCCCCCCAATCAGGCCTCCATTCCCTAGCCTGGGCTGGGAGGAAAAGTCCCATGCAGCGGGTGCTTTTGTGACAGCCACCCTCTGGGCTGACATTGAACTGGGGACCTCCGGAGCTAAAAGTAGGAGCTGCTACAGATCCCTGGGAAGGAGGAAGGAGGGTGGGCGGGCATTGTAACAACTCCTGTCCTCACGCCAAGGGGGCTTGTAACACTCACCCACCAGTGGGTTACACTCTGTAATGGGGAGATCTGTCATCTAGGACCCAGGCAATGCACCTGCTTGGCATGGCCCAGGAGCCATCAGCTGGTTAAATACTGCCAATCCCTCCGCACCTGGGTCAGATTCAGATGCATGACCTGGAGTGCAATGCCCTGCCTCCCTTTGCGGTGCCCCTGAGCCGGCTGGTTCGGTGTTGGATTACGCTCTGCGGCGCAGCTTGAAATACAACATGCTTCAGTGAGCTGAGACGGAGGAAAAACACCTCCTGCTTTCAGAGTTGTCTGGACGGCACCGTCCAGTGCCAGCCTTGCCCTCCGACAGCCCGCGGCACAGCAAGGGGGCCTTCTTCACTCAGCCGATCTGCTCCCTGCCGTGGGGATCAGGCAGACCTGCGGAGCTCCCTGGCTTTGAATTATTCCCTTGAGCCTCGCAGAGTCAGCCCAGCGGCGCGAGGGGGTTCCATTGGGGTTCATATATCCCAAAAGGCAGCTTAGTGCCAGCTGCAAAATCTTTATTACCGGGGAGCGTGCACAAGGCAAGAAGAAACCTGGCGCCCCTCTGGGATCCCAGGTTGCTTTTGCAGCACAGGCATAAAAATCTCTCTGTTCACTTGCAAATGGAGGGGGTCTGAGCTGGGATCACAGTCAACATGTGGGGGTTGGACTCAGAACATCAGACATTAAGTACCAGATGTTCAAAGGGGACCAGCGCGCATTTAAGCACCGAAGGGCGCAGTCCATTGGGTGCTGAGCATTTTCTTAAATCTGGCCTCAGTTGTGGGCACCGAGCCCTTGAAAATCTGGCCCTGAATTCTTAACATTTGCTCTCCAGAAGCATCAGCCTGTGCCACTTGAGCTAATAACATAACTCCATCAGCTGGTAGCAATGGGAGGCTTTTATCTTCTTATGCGGACCAGCCACTAGATGGCGACACATAACACATGCTGAACCAGCTCCCACAATGCTTAGTGCTTCCAGAGCACAGCTGCATTGGGGAGCCGGAGAGAATGGGCCCCCGTGTTCCCTGCAACGTTATTAACGCCTCCCCGTTTCTTGCTCTCGCTTCAGACTCCTGATTATCAGACAAAGAAAATGGAGAGCAAAGCTCTGCGGAACAAGCTGTTCCACATCAAACGCATGGTGAGCGACTACGATAAGATGAGAGGGTAGTGCGGAAAGCGGAATCCTTTGGAGGGGGAAGAAATTCTGCGTGTGGTCAGCTGACTTCCCTCCACGAAGCGCTGCAGGAATGCCGAACACCTGGACGAAAACCAGATTTCTTTTTGTTTTGTACATTCGTTTCCAAAGCAGAATCTCTCTATCTTTGTGCCATTTCCAAACCGAAACCCGACAGGTCTCGGCGAGCGGGGCAAGAGGGCGATTTTTAGAACAGAAATGAAACTCCAAGGAAGTTTGCGCTCTGGTTTGATGCCGGTGGGCCCGTATCCTACAATGACCTAAGCAGAAATCCTGGCCCCATTGAAATCAGTGACTTCAGTGGGGCTAGGAGATCACCCTTGGTGCTTAAGTTTATGCTGCGAGTCATTAATTCAATAGAACTGAGCATTAAGCATGCGCCCGCAGTTGCTGCAGCCTCCGTTTGTACGTGTGCAGATGTAAATTTGTAAATACGTGGGTGTGTATATAAATTAGCCTCCTGTTTTATATGATCAAAGGGTGAATCTCTCTGTAGCATGCTCCCATGCTGGTCCCCATCCTGCAAGCCCTTACTCGCCCACGTAGTCCCAGTGAGCTCAGAGGGACATCCCTTGGGAGCGAGGACCCTCGGTGGGTGAAATTCACCCTGGGCAGAGGGGTTTGTACAAGGCCTGCGCACCACTGACACCCCCTGAGCACGGTAGGGGGAATGCGGCTCCATTGACCTCGGTGGGGATCGTGCCGTTGACTTCAGCAGAGCCTGGATTTCACTCCATGATGGGGACTTTGTGCTGCATAAGCCTGATGCTGGATCCCTGCCCAGGAAAGGTTTGCAGGATTGGGCCCATGCGCTCTGGAAAGGACTCCTGCTCCCTCTTAGATTCCTGTCGTCCTTCCCCTCCAGCCGTCCCAATGTGATTCAAAGCCAGGAGCATGGGAGCCCGGCGGCTGGAGCCCAGGCCTGTTTCGCGCGCCACGCCAGCCCGCAGTAAGGAGCCCATTGCAGCCAGCCGAGGGTGACGGCCTGTCTCCCACCACCGCAGCTGAGATGTGTGCAGCCAAGCTGAGCGGAAACGCAGACCCAAGCTCCAGAGATTGTCCCGGCCCCTCACCTCCGGCCCCGTGCTGCAGAAGTGTCTCTCGGGGAGCTGACAACTGAGTGCGGCGGCGGATGCATTTCACCGGGATGAATAATACACAGGGAACTCCTGAGTCACCCAGCGCAGCCGGCTCACACTTCTGACAACTTGACACGCCAGGGCTTGGCCGCCCCCCAGCAAGAGCCCATGCGAGGCATTGTGTGAGGAGCTTTCACGCTCGCACAGGCATCCCGGTGCCAGTCTTAGAATAGCCCCCTCAGCTGCCACGGTTTGATAGAGCTGGACGGCACGGTGCGAACGTCTGAACACCATTTTTTTTACCGCTGCCAGCACGTCCTATGCCAGTGTGCTATTCTGTAGGGAACTGGGTATGATGTCGGGGGTTATTTTTTTTAATAAACTGCATCTATTGATTTTAAATGTCAGCATCTTGCTGTAAAATGAAACGCGTCTCCCTTTCCTGCCTGCATCGGCGTGTGTCTTAAAAAAGAAATCCCCGTACGTTTCATTGGCTGCAGCCAGAGTCAGCGAGTGTTTGGTCGCTGGGACGAAGCAATATTGGGAGGTAGAAATTGGGCAAGGAAAGAGGTTACAGCAGGTGCATTTGATACAGTCACTGCTGGCCTCCAGCCTGTCCACCCATTGCTGGGGTATCGGAGCAGCTTCATGGCTTTATGCTCCTGACAGCCCATGTGGGCGGTGAGACTCCTCACCCCCCGTTTGCCAGGCGAGGACCCAAGGCCCAGAGCGACGCAGGGACGAGGTCACGCAAGGCGTCTGGGGCAGAGCTGAAATGTGAACCCCAACCTCTCCCAGTTCACGCCAGTGCTTTACCCACAAGGCCAGCCATACTCTGCCAGCAAAGTTCCCACTCCCAGCCACCCCAGGGTTGCATTCTTATAGCTGCATTCTTATAACATGCCTTGCTGGGGGAACCCTAAAGTGGCCGTTTGCCTGCTGCCAGCTGCCGCCTGCTCCCTGCTGGTGAGTACTGCTAACCCTGGGTGCTTCCCCTTTCACGCCCTTCCTAGCGCCCTTTGAGTTCTGCGGGCCAAGCGAGCCAGGACAGGTTGAGAGGGGGTTGGTCTGTGGGCGTCTTGACTCCCATTTGGTGCAGTCTGGTGGACTCAGTCCCCTGCCCGCCCAGCGTTCTCCCTGTGGGCTGCTGCCCCATGTGACCTGCAGACGCTGCAGACAAGGGTTTCAAGGCGCAGTTAGTGTCTGGTAAGGTCAGATAGCAGCTGGGACTGGGGAGGAGCCATTAGAACCATGTGACCAGCCCTTGTATTGCCCACGCTTTGGATTTTTATTGTGGGGTGTTTTTCTTAAAGCGCCTGCACCTGGAGGCATGGGATTCTCGAGCATCGCAGCATTTGGTTTCAAGAGAGAAGCCTCTAGCCCTGGTGGGTGCAGAGAAATAGCTTGAAAATCATGACCCCTAAAGGCTCAAAAAAACAGAAAGGAAATTGAGGGGGGGGGGGAACCTCTCCCCCAAAACGTATCATTCTGTGAAAGCGCCTGATTGTCTTTAGCTAATCTCGTGATTTCTGGGAGCGGGGGGAGGTGACGTGTGGCACAGGCTGCTCATCCTCTCAGGCCTATAGCTGCTGTCAGAGCTTTAAGCAGGATGAGGGCCTGCTGTGCTCTGCCCTATGGGCTCGTTGAAGGGGGGGGCGCTGCTGTATCTTGGGGGCTGTGACAGTATGCAGTGCCACACACACACACACACTCTCTCTCTCTCACTTTCACCAGCCAGATCCCTCAAGCTGCTGCACTTCATTCTCCATGTCCTAAAGCAAGCTGTTCTACACTGTGAAATGGCTGCTGCGTTCCACCCCAGACACGGCTGCCGGGGCGGGGCAGTGTGTGAAGCACTTTGAGCTGCTTGCCACGTGAACTATTGTCTATAAATTACTTCAAACCCCAAGGCCCTTCTTGCCCAGACGGCTTCTGAAAAGTAGTTTTAGTCCTAATCCCCCTGCAGGAATTGGGAGCCTGAACCCTGCCTGCATTTTAATCCTCAATCTTTGCCCAATTTTACTGCAAAGGCCCCAGGTTTAGTCACCTGCACAATTACACCACTGAATTAAGTGCAAGAAAGTGGGAGGGGAGGTCTTGTCACCCTCCCCGATACCTACGTATAATGGTTGCATTAAATGGACTTGACTTGTCTTTTCCATGGCCCTGCACCTTGTGTGCACGTTTACACAAGGTCAAAGTAGGGAGGATTTTACAACCCATGAAAACCGTCGTGTTTTACACCCACATCCTACTGGTGTCAGGGCCCATGCAAGGTGCAGTGGTGAATTAGGCCCAAATCCCTTTATAGACAGGGTGGGCTACACCGAGAGGCTAATCCAGGGCACTGACTGATGGAACTCGATTGCTCATCACGTTAAAATCCAGCCACGGCACAGAGCCCATTGGCTGGGGGAGTAAGGGTTTTGGGGCCCTATAATACAGCATGCTACTGTAACACCATCCCAGGCCCCAGCAGCTCAATTCCGCTCCACGGAGAGGTGTGGAAAGGTTAGATTTGTATTGGTAAACGTCGGGAAACAGCCATCTACCCGAACACACCCACAACCCGACAAAACAATATGGCCATTGAGCATGGCCATTCCCAGGTCAGCAGAACAAGCCCCATGCTGCCCGAGAGCGTGAGCGTCGGACATAAGATTTACAGTGTCGAGGTTGATATGTGACGTCGCCCACTTGTGATTTAAGTTAGAGAGCGAGCATGAGCCGCCCTCTGGCCTGCCAACGTCACAGGGAGCCTCAGCTAGACCTGGGCACCCAGGCCCGGGGCTGCTCAGAGCTGGCTCCGAACTCAGAACCAGGCGGCTTTGGGTGGGCATGGGCTCAGAACTGCCAAGCGGCAGCAGCATTTCGGGTGCTTGGAAAATTCCAGCTGGTGGCGGGGTTAGGGGGCAGCTGAACAGCCGCTTGGGAAAGGACAGTGGCATCTAACTAGCAGACTCGGGCAGCTCATGAGGCAGAGAAGTGCCCAGGCCCAGGGCCAAGAGCCCAGGCAGCAGGAGCAGAGACTGTCTCTACTCCATCTAGCCCCTAGCAGGGGACAAGGAGTCATGGCATGATACGGGTCGCGCTATTGTGTCCAGTAAAGTCTATTCCAGAAGGCACCACCCAGAAGCATAAAACACACTTTTATTATTGTGATTCTTTGGCTGAGCCCTTTTCTAAGGAGGCCTTTGCAGGCGTGCTTTCCCTGGAGACAATCAGTCCGACAGCGGCAGTAACACTCTGCTTTGGTGATGGGGGAAAGTTCATTTCCCAGCCCCTTAGGGACCCGGAACGGGGTGTCGATTCCCAAGCAGGATTCAGCGGCGTGTCTGGTTCTTATTTCTGAACAGAAAAATCGCTTCGGGGCACCCAACCTTACTTGAAAATTTCAAGTATCGTCGCTCTGAGCTGGTTTTGCCATGTGTGATAATATCCCACAATGCCCCTGGGTGACCAAAAAGCCCCTGCTCTCGGGGATTAAGTGCAATCGGGTTTAGTGTTAAGGCTCTTTGCATAGAACAGCAGAATCCGGGGCCTCGTTTTTTTCAAGGGCGACTAGAGATTTTGGGTGCCACTGTTTCTGGATGCCCTCAAAGGGGGCTCTGCTTTCAGAGCTCGCCCAGCCCCTGCTTTCTGAAAGTCATGCCCCTTTGAGGTGTCCCCAGAATCCCTAGTCGCACTTGGAAAGTCCTATTCGCCTCCTCAGTAGGAGCGCGCTTTGGCGCAGCAACGTGCATGTGTAATAACAACATTTAGCGCTTCGTAGCTCCCAGGCACCTTGCAACCATGGCTTAACTCCAGGCAAAGTGAATCCGCAAGGTGGCTGCAAAGCAGCTGTTTCTCTAGCCTTTAAAAATCAGTGGGTGCCAGTGTGTTTAATGGAGAGCCTCCGTCACGCTCCTGCCCCCTCGGAGACGGAAACAAGATCGCTCCTTGGAAGGCGTTTTTAGGGGAGTTGGATCAAAGATTTGTGCGGCTGCTGTGCTGAAAAGTCTCCTGCAATCTATACGGAAGTGGGGGAGGCAAGTATTCAAAATCCAGGCAGCTCATTCCCACCCCAGCACGTATGGTCGAAGGCCAGCGCCTTCCCCCCCTCCCCTCCAAACAGAGCCCCCCTTCCTAAGAAACATCTGCATTGACTTCAGTTAATGGGGTTAGAATCAGGGCTCGCTCTAAATGACAAGTCCACCACCCCTCTGGCTTTCTTTTGTTTACACAGAGATCCGATGTCTGTGCTGAGCCTGTTTATAGCAAGGATACTCAGGCTTGCATCACTGGGGAGCAGGTGGGAAACTGAGGCAGCACTGGGGAGCAGCGTGGCTAGTGCGGCAGAGGCCACTCGGTTCCAGGAATGAGGTCTGCCCCAGATCTGCCTCGCTCTGCACTGACCCCCCCACACTAGGTTCTTTTCTGCAACAGCAATTCCCACGGGTACCAGCAATTGCAACAGGACAAATAAACCATGCCCCACTTACGGGTTTAGCGCATAACCCTGAATCTGGGCCAGCCCTGCCCTTGCAAAGAGTGATTTACCCACTACCTGGCCTGGATTTAATAACTGCCGCCTGCTTTTTATTTTGCCATGCAGAGATTCTGCTTCAGATGTTCGCAGCCTTCAAGCTCACTACCTCTCCTCAAAGGCTCAGCAGAATTAGGAGAGGGAAATAGCTGTGTGTCTGAAAAAAAGGAAGGGGGGGGGGGAAGACGCTGTTTCCTATATACAAGGGTCTGTGGTGTAAAGCGGCTGCTAACGTTCCCCGACAGGATCACAGGCGGAGCGGGACTGGCTTGAGCTGAGCTGGGCGATGTAAAATATAGAGTGGTGAAATGAATGGGAGGGGAGGGGGGAAGTCATCTGTTATATAGGAAATGCTCCCCCCCCCACATACTGTCTCCGCACCGGGCCAGGAATCAGGTAGCTAGAGCCAAGGTGAATTTGGGCTGAACGGCAGGGAAGCGCCACTGCCTGCAGGGGTCGAGGGAAGCAGGCAGGTCAAAGCAGTGGAGCGCCCGGTCCAGGGAACAATTCCCCCGTGGAAGGCCAGACTGGATCTGACCTGTGGCCTTTCTAGCCCAGTAGCCTGGTCAGCCCATGGCCAGCACCTAGGTTCTCCCTAGTCGTTGCGTTAGATGCAGGAATGACTGGGTGACAGCAGCGGGCCTGGGGGCTGCAGCTCAGATACGGCAGAATGGTCCCTTTGGCTTTGAAAGCGGAGATGATGCAAGAACCCACGCGAAGGCCTAACGTGACCCTCTTCTTCCTTCCCCTGTCCCTGGCTCATCCCTGGAGCATACGGCTTTATCTCCCTTCCCCAACTGGGTTGTTTTAACCCGTCTGACACTGGGTAGTTCTGTTATTCCCTCTAATTGTCTGCCATTGGCTAGGGGACAGGCCCCTCGCTCTCTCCCCCCGGTCTACTTTCTAGGGCTCAAAACGTTCTTGCCAGAGACGGCTGCTGGCTATTTTATCTGATATGGGGGGAGGAGAGGCCTGCAGCCCCGGTCGCCCCGGACTGGCTCAGAGGCAACAGGCAGAGCAGCAGAATAGCCCACAGTCATTTCCCACCTCTGCTGTCCGGTACCCCAGGGACAGGAGTTCGAGCCTGCCTTGCCTTCAGAGAGGTTTTTCTAAAAAGGAAAAAATAAAGTTCAAATCCCGACCGCACGACCCCCCCCGATGACTGGAGCCAAACAACATCTGTCCAGAGCCATCTCCCGTAGCCCTCTGAAAAGTCATCCCAGAAAAGTAAAGGCTCCATCCCTTTGCTGATCCACTCCATGGGTGGGGAGGGGGTTCCGTGTGTGCTGACGGGCAACACCCGGGCAAGGCGCTAACTAATGTTGCCACGTGGGTGGGGGACCACACTGTCTGTGATTCCGGCCTGGAAAAGAACCGCGCAGGCCTGAGCCTCTGGCCTCGCAGGAACCGCTCAGCAAAAGGCCCAGCTAGGAAGGGTTTCTGGTGGAACGGGCTGGGCTTCCCGAGCTGCGTCTGGGACCGCGAGGGGAGAATTCCTGCTGTCTCCTATTGCCCTGTCCCGTAAGGCCAGTTGAACGTGCTCCCAGACAGCAGCATGTCCCTAATTAGTGTTTCGATGGGCGTCTTCCCCACCAGTCTCATAAAGAAGAGCTGAGAGATGAGCGAAGCCGGCACCGCCCGGAGCGCCGGGAGCCGCAGCAGGAGTCTGCCAAAGCGCTGGGGCTGAGACGGGTACTGGGCCCGGACGTACTCGGTCAGGGCCACCTGAGCTTTCTCTTGCAAGCTCTCCACGTGGGCAGGGTCTGAGAGGCCGCAGGCATCTGCAAAAGGCAGGGGGGAAGAAGGGGGAGAATTGTTAGCAGGGAACAGAGATTGCACAGCTCCGGGTGTCCCCACCAGACACACGGTCCTGCTCCACTTCCGAGATGCGAAGGCCGGGCAGGACTACTAGATCCTCTCCTCTGACCGTGTGTGTCCCAGGCCATCACATGGCTCACAGTTACCCCGTATCCAACCCAGCGCCGCCGCTAACACTCCTGGGGGACCAGCACCGCCCGGAGAGATGGTCGGCTGTGACTGGAGCAGCAGGGCGGTTATCGGCACACCCACCTCCGTGGCCCAGAAGGCCCCGAGATGGCCAGTTCATCAATCACCCTGCACCTTCTGCAGCCACTCACACCAAAGCAAACTCCTCCTGCTCTGCCAGGTGCAGGGGAGATGAACGGGGGCTATGGCATGCAGCCCACCCAGTCCAGGAGCCACCAGCGCAGAACAGGGAACACAAGCACAGCAGACCATGGTAGCGCTACCGACCTATCTTAGGGCTTCCATCACCCTCGGATCTAAGCACTTCCTGGAAGAGTTGGATTAACCCAGCGAAGTCCCTTAACAGGATCTTCCGCTCCCATCCCTCCCTTGGCCACAGAAGGGCCAGAATCTATGCCTGGGCTAGAAGACAGCATTGCCTAGTGGATAGAGCACTGTCTTGGGGTGTAAGGGACGTGGGTGTCAATTCCTGGCTCTGCCATTGGACCCACTCAGTGACCTTGGGCAAGTCACCCCCCCCACGTGCCTCAGTTTCCCCATCTATACAATGGGGATAACGATACTGCGCTCCGATGGAAAGTGCTCTATAAAGCAAGGGATTAGACTGTAATTGGCCAGCAGGGACAAAGCTTCCTCAAATGAACACACGAGGCTGAAACCCTCCCCACCTCTTACGGCACAATATCGCCCCTGAGAGCAGCACGGTTGCAAAAATGCTCTGCGGGAAGCCTTAGTGTGACGGTGTAGATTGGTTTCAGTGTAAACCCAGGGTAGACCCGCTGCTCCCACTGCAGGCTGCATTGGCACAGGAGCCCTGAGATGCCACAAACACAATCATGTAGCCGGGCAGAGCCTGCCAACCCTGCATTGACAGCTTTCGTTTGAGTTCCCTGAAGTCAGTCTCCAAGTATGAGCAACTCACCCTGCCAGCTCATGCAGAAACGCTGCCAGCTTCTATTTTATTACCCATCCAGCGGTATCTGCCGGCCCAGATATTTTAAGAACACGGCAGCACTGCCATGTTAAACGGAGGTGGAAAGGCATCAAGCCACGGCCTGCCGGTGCCCGTCTGTCACATGGCGATAGCCATGCAGTCAGGACAAGTCCTAGAACATCCTTTTCTCCTCCCCCGCCTCCCCTACTCCCATCTTGCATTTTTGGCTACCTTGACCTTCCTGTCACGTTTCCCAATTAAATCCAATCACCGGCATTCGGTAGCTATCCCTGCAACGCTGCATTAGACGCCTGGCGCGCATGTCCCACTATTGCGAGCCAAACATTTTACTGTCTGGCCCCCACGCAAACAAAACAAAACAAAAACAAAACAAGAAAAAGCCTGCGGGTGCTTAATCCAACCACAAGGGGGTAGCGCGAATGGGTTTTTAATATAAATGCTCCACGCCAGAAAACCCAACCCGGACTATTTGATTTGTGAGAGGACGGAAACTTCGTCTCGTTAGCCGGCAGTGGGCAGGAGAACGAGCTGATTGGCTGACGAGCTACAATTGGTGATTAAATTAGAACCCCACGTTGTCAGGCTGCTCTGGCTAGCGCAGCCTTTAAAGAGCCCATCCTGTCATTTTTATTTTGTTTTCTCTTTAGGAAGGAGGAAGAGGCCAGGCAGTGTTAGATAGCCAGGTTTCTCCGCTAGCCCCCCTCGGGAGCTAGGGACCCCTGGGACTGTGCCTTGTTACGACTGCAGTGGATACACAGGCCAACCGAATTGCTAGTTTGGCTGGAGGTTAGAATGGCTCTTAAAGGGACATACCTTTTGCGTTGTGCTGCAGTATTAATAGATACAAGTCCTTCCATTCTTAGGGCAAAGGCTCTTTAATTTATCTTAGAAAGTTAACCGGTTCCCATTGATGTATCTGGGGCTTTACCATTACGGGCATCCCATGGAGCGTCTCCCCCCGCGGGAAAGTCACCTTGCTCACAGGATGCGCATGGGAGTCGCTACCTTTAGGCTGGAGCCTATGGGAATTAGGCACCCACATCCCACTGAAACACCACGAGCATTAGGTACTTTTGAAAGTTTTACCCCTAAATGCCATCGAAACCCAACATGACTGAGGTCCCCAAGTGACTTAGTAGCTTTTTGGAAAATTTTACCCTGGGTGCTTGAAGCCCTTAGGTTACTTTGAAAATCCCAGGCTTCAGCGCCGTCTTTTTGGTACCAGGAGATGACATCAGTAGGAAAGGCAGCAGTGCGGGGCCACATCGTATCACACACCTGCGCACTGACGCGATCTTTAGTTGTGTATAGGAAGCATTCACTGCAACAGGCCTTCTATCTCCAACTCTCTGTGCTCTGTAACCACCCTTACACACACGAGAGACCACTCCTGGGGCCACCCACAACCACCAACAGCTGAGCACCCAAAGGAGCCAGGCAGCCAAATCCTACTGACCGTTGGAGGAAGCGGGAGAGGGAACTTCCTTAAGCCCTTTGGCAAATCCCAGCTGTGCCAGTCACCAGGGCACCCCCAAGTCGTGCACAGCCAGGGGGAGAAACGGGCCAGGCAGCGTGTCCTGCAGGTCAGTAAATTAAGGTCACTTTGCACCAAGCTGTGGGGAAAGCGGCAACGCCCAGCAGAACTCCCAGAACCTACCTGCCTGCTTGCCTCCCCCTCGTGCTAATTTGGCTCGATGGACGGTATTTCTGACGCACACCCCATCACCTCACCATCGTTAGCATCTTTATCCTCACAACGCCTCCGGGGCAGTGCTACTATCCCCATTGTACAGAACCAAGGGACGAAGCCTGGCTAGCCCTAAGTGACTTGCCCATGGTCACGCAGGGAGGTCAGTGGCAGAGGAGGGAATGTCCCACTCAAGCACCCAAAACACTGGATCATCCTTGTTCTCTAGATATCCGTTAATTACAACTCCGGGGCTTTGCACTAAGGTCATACAGTGCAAAGGCTTCCTGGGGGGGACGGGGAGGGTGCCATATAGATCCATAGATACCAACACACAGAAAGACGAGTTTTCAGGGCAGCCTGTTGCTCTTCCAGGAGCACTGCTCTACGAGCAGGGACGCAGACGTCTGAGCAGGGCCGCCGAGAGCGAGTTCGGGCCCCGGTGAAAAAAAATGTTCGGGCCCCCCAGCAAGGGCAGACCGGCTAAACAGGGCCGACGAGAGAGGGGGGAAGCCGGGCCCTGGGCCCCCTTCCGGGCCGCCAGGCCCTGGTACTTTGTACCGGCTTCCCCCCCTCCTCCCTCGTCGGCCCTGCGTCTGAGTTCTGCTTTTCAGCGGGAAGCCCCATTTCCCCAGGGCAGAGCAGAGCGCTCCTCGTTACGGGGCCAATCACTTCGACAGGGGGAGGAGGGTTTCGTTTCTCAGCTGGCTGAGACACTGTTAAATTCATCACAGAATTACAGCACCAACTTACAGAACGTACTCACACCTGCTTGTCAACGGTTTGAAATGGGCCACCTTGATTATACTGCGACAAAAGTGATTTTTCCTCCCTTCTTGTCAACTGTTGAGAATAGCCCACTTCCACCTTAATTGAATTGGCTCATTAGCACTGACCTCCCACTTGGTAAGGCAACTCCCATCTTTTCAGGTGCTGTGTATTTATACCTGCTACTGTATGTTCCACTCCATGCATCTGATGAAGTGGGTTCTAGCCCACGAAAGCTGATGCCCAAATAAATGTGTTAGTCTCTAAGGTGCCACCAGGACTCCTCGTTGTTTTTGCTGATTCAGACTAACACGGCTGCCGCTCTGGAACCTGGCACTAACTTTGACTCCCGAGGGCAGCCCCCATCCTTGTGACATCTCGTGGTGGCTGCATCCTTTCTGATCGTTAAGGGAAGCATCTCTTACATGCAAGGATGATTACGTGATTTGGTGCAATTAGACGTGACGATGGGAGCAGCTGCGATATTACCAGCGCTATCCTCCTCTTGCCGCAGAAGTGGGTGCTGGAGAACGTTCCAGACGGCAGCAAGAGACAGGGGTTCAAGGCCCAGCTCTGCCACCGATTCCCCGGAGGGCCTGGGGCAAGTCACTTAGGGCCAGCCTTTTAAAGGTATTGGTGGACTTAGGTGCCTAGCTGCTTTTGAAAATCTCACTAGCAGCCACCTGCACCTTTAGGTGCCTAAATACCTTTAAAAACCTGGTTCTTTGTTGCTCCCTGCCTCGGTTTCCCACCTGTAAAATGGGGATACTGATCCTTCCTTTGTCTATTTAGCCTATAGCCTTTTGGGGGCGGGGCCTGGCTCTGACTGTGTCTGTGCAGCAGCCGGCCCCTCTAGCCGTGACACCGTCCTGAAGATGAGCATGCACCAGCCACTCACCTGGCGTGAAGAGGGCTATGGCCTTCAGGCAGCTGTATTCAGCAGAATCCACTTGCAGCCTGTTCAGTTTTTCCACCTGATCCTGAAATATCCGGATCTGGTCCATGAAGGACACCACGCGGTCGGCGGACATGGGGGAGGCGTGGAAGCCGGCCGCGGCCAGCAGGGGGGCCATGTGCAGCGGCAGGGCCGACTGCGCGGCGTTGAGGACGAACAGCTCACTCCAGCTCAAGCGCAGCAAGGCCACCTGGTCCGAGACCGGCAGTTCTGGGAAGAAAGGGATGTTCCGGGCCCACTCCACCGTGCTGAAGAGCAGCCTGGCCGCCAACTCGCAGATGTTGTCGATGCCCATCACGCTGCCCTGCTGGGCGTACTGCGAGCCGTAGCGGGCAGTCGGGTAGGGCTCCGCCCGGAGCAGCTGGGAGATGAGTTCCGAGACCGGCTGCCCGTTGTAATACTCCCCGCTGGGCATGGCGTTCGGGCTGGTGCTGGAGTGGGTGGGGGGGATCCTGCCTCTCTGGACAGCTGGGAAGGAAGCGAGAGGAGAGATTAGATCCCACACGGCAACGTCACGTGCGGTTGCTACCATCGCAACATGCGTTTAGTCCAGCCGGGTCTACGCTGGGGCCCACGTCCCCGCCACAGAGGCTGCAAGCGGCTACAAAACGAGGCGGTCGCTGTTATGAGTATTACGGTAGCGTCTAGGGGCCCCAGCCGAGATCAGGGCCTGGCAGGCTTGGAGTGGCACGTACTTGTATCCAATCCAGGACAGGCCCTGCCTCAGAGTCTGAACAGGCAAAGGGTGGGAAGGGGAAACTGAGGCACAGAGCACGGCAGTGACTTGCCCAAGGTCACCCAGCAGTTCTGTGGCGAAGCCGGACTCCCAGAGCAATGCCTGGTCCACTGGGACAGAGCTGTAATCGCCTTGCGTAAGGACCAGGTTGCCAGCCGAGTGGGCGCCTCAAACCTTCAGCACCACAGCCCAGGCCTCAGAGCTCAAAGGGTTACTCCATTAACTGGGATCAGTAGCAGGCTGTTATCCAGCCCTTGGAGAGGTACATGACGCATACCTGGCCAGTTACACACACTAGAAATATTGATCTGAAAAGAAGATAAACCTCCTTAGCACCTTGGTGATATCACCTCTCCCCCACTGCCTAATTAGCTGTAAATGAATGCCTAACCCCAGAGATAAGCAACAGAGCTCGGGCCTCTAGCAAAGGGCACTGAATGACTCTGGCTGACAGATGCAGGCCCCCAGAGCATTTAAAGCTTGGGTGATAGGCCTGGTTTTAGCACCAAAAGCAGGGAGGACTGCTGGGGTTAAGGGCGAGGAGCCCCCAGAGCCGAACAAGGAGATCAGCACCACACGGGGGCTTGCAAGAGGGTTAAGGGAACCCAGAATCAATCTGCAGAGAATATTGGCCTCTGGGACAGCTGATTTCATCTCCATTAGCAAGCGGGATTCCAAACTGCACTGAGCCCAGGTTTCTAATCTCCAAGCAGTCACGTGAAGTTCTAATTCCCCCCCTCCTCCCCTTTGCTCTGTAGTGAGATGACGGCTAGCCAAGGTCATTTCTCTGCAATGGAAACATACATCTTCAGTACACTTGTTAACCCTGGAGGGGCTCCTCTTCCTAACCGCATGCTAAGAAAGCTATTTTTCAGCCCCCGTTAGCACCCACTGTTTGCGTGGCCCCCGGTAATTAATTTATGGGCTGTTCTTGCAGCACTTAAATTAGAGCTCTAAATCATAGTAAGTGACAACAATGCCGTCCCCACTCGCCTGCAAGGAGGAAATTAAGTCCTGCTCCTAATATCTCTTCCCTGTGCTATTTACATTTCTACCACCGCCTGTGGAGAAGCAAATAGGCTCTGGCTAGCTGAACCCCAGAGGGATCCCACCGCTCTCCATCTTTGCCCACAGCAAGGTGGAATCTGCCCAGAACAATGGTTGTGATTTTCAGGTTGAGTACTTAAAGTTAGGTACCTAGTTCCATATTTAGGCAGCTTCAATAATACTACCTAGTGCTTTATATCAGTAGAGCGCAAAGTGTGTTGCATGGAGAAACTGAGGCACGGGGAGGGGAAAGGACTTGCCCAAGGTCACCCAGCAGACCAGTGGCAGAGCCAGGAAGAGAGGACCTAGATCTCCTGAGTCCCAGTCCAGTGTGCACTGAGAAATTCCCATTGGGCTCAGTAGAGCACCGCTGCAAACCAGGATGCTCATCGAAGCATCCAACTTTACACAGCTAAGTGGCAAGTGCTGGCCCCTTTCTAGTGGGAATGGCCCGGAAGTCTTGTCATGAGCATCAAGAATGGACTTCGGTCCCACGAACGTAGCTGAAACTCCCCCACCCCCAACTTCCAGCCCGGGGAGATCCAAGCATTTGAAGCTTGCAAGACAGGCCAGCCTGGGCACTTCCCTCACCCGTCCAATTGTTGGGTCAGATCCCCGGAGGGGCCACACCCATTTACACCGGCAGAGGATCTGTCCTGTGGCCCCGATTCATTTAAGCAGCGTAAACGACTAAAGCGGGTGCGTAAGGGTTTTGATGACTCGGGGCCTAAATCTGTTACCTTGAGCACAGCCTGAAATCCATTGAGAGTCGCTGCCCGCTGGGGCCCAGCGCACAGCTGCTCTCGCCATGCTCATTAACAGATGTCACGCACGTGACTTCACTGGCAAGCACAGAACCTTAAGTCATGACAGACAGCACGCGCCTTGTCTCCAAACCTGTAGCCTACGCTGACAACCCGCAGACACGGGGAGGGAAGGGATGCCGTGGAAAAGGAAAGCGACTGCAAGCAGGAGGTGCTAATTTCATGGGGGCCCGGCCCCTCTGAAAATCAGATGCAGTGGGCTCCCTCCTGATTTATGCCAGCTGGGAATCTGGCCAGCAGAGGCACCCAATCTTACTGAATGCCACGGGAAACGTGGCTGTGCACGTCAAAGAGCTTCAGGAGAGGAGCGAAGAATTTCTTGTTCCTCTCGTTCTAGTCCCAGCTGGCCTGGCCTGCTGGGAGACCTTGGGGATGTCACTGCCCCGCTCCATGCCTCAGTTTCCCCATTTCACAGGGGGGGTGAATGAGCCTGACCTCCCGCGGAAAGCACTTTGTGGTCCAGAGGTGAAAAGCGCTAGAGAAGAACTAGAGACTATTAAATACAAATACTGCCTGACATCAAGCAAAAGGCGAGTGGTGAATTTAAAACTCACGTCTCCTTTGTCTGCTAAACTCTGTTCATGCTGTTACCCATCCTTCCCCCACCCTGCCTCTCATCACATCCTCTCTGACCCCGGCCTTGCACCTTGTGGTCTGACACCAAGACAAATTGGGTGTGAAATGCTACCGAGGAACATCCATAGTGTTTCACTTTGCACTGGTGTCAACAATGGCACAAGGAGCAGGGTGGGTGGGGAATCTGGGATGGGGACTGTGGTCTTCGGTGGTTTATACAGCACCTCCCACAATAGAGCTTTGATCTCTGATGGGGGTTCGCACGTGCTACTCTAAGTAGGTCTCTAATGTCCTATGTTTCCCCTTGTGCAAATCACTCTGCCAGCTCCACTGCTCAAAACCCTTGTCAGCTCTTCCCAGCAGGACTCTGTTTCTTGTCACTCCCTTCCCAAGCGACCCCCAAGGCCCTAGTGAAACCTCAATGCTTGCAGCTAGCCATCCTGTCCGGCCAGCTCTGCTCTCAGACCTCGTGGAGCAACAGTGGCAGCAGCCCCTTTGAAAAATCAGGCAACCGGGGTCTCAAGTCAAGCACCCTGAATGAGTGGCTGCTTCTGAAAACTCTGGCCTAAACTCTTTTGTTCAAATGAAGATTGCAAACCTAGGCTCTTGGAATGGCCAAACTGGATCAGACCCATGGTCCATTTAGTCCAGTAGCTTCCGACGGTGGTCAAAACAAGCTGCTTCAAAGGAAGGCACAAGAAACCCCGCAGTGGACAGTTATGGGAAAATTGGGGGAAATTACTTCCTGACCTCCATTGGTTTATGCCCTGAAGCATGAGGATTTATAGCCACTCCAAAAGCTCTTGGTTATTTTTAATGCTTCCTACAACAACTTTGGATATTCTCATTCTCCATAGAAATGTTCTGCCTCAGTTAAAAACCACTCGGCTGCATTCGGAGCGTCAGTGCTATCTTATGGCAATGAGTGCCACCGGCCAACGGCGTGTTGTGGGAAAGGGTTTGCTAAGCTTGCCACCTCTCGAGTCCACTGCCTGGCTCCTTGACTGCGCCTTATGACACGGCACAGAGGAGTTCCTGATCGAGGCGGGGCCCCCGCATTAAGGGGAGGAGAGAGGGTGCTGAGGAACGAGGATTCCTCTGCTCTCCAGCTCTGGGAAGTTGGGAAACTGACTCAAGAAATGCTTTAAAATGTTCTGGGTTCTACTCTCAATGCAACACGATGCCCAAGATAAAGAGAACAGCCGCCAACACCATCTGCTGCGCCGTACGCCCCCCCGCCCCGATACACTGCCACAGAAATTTGCATAACTGAGTCAATATTGGAACTGCAAAGGATTATTCTAAGTTCGTCTCGGTTTCCATCTGCGACCTTTAAAGCTGCTAGGTCAGGTGGTCTGGTACAAGGCTCCAGGTGAGTCACCGAATCTAGCCAAGGCTTTGGCTTTCCAAACAAACACCACCTGTTGGACTGGTACGGGAGCCGCCCAAGGGCAGATTGAAATGGTTTTGTATTCTGCCCTGAGACTGGGATTTCACTGTGACAATAACGGCTGCTCCCAGATACCACAATCAGCACGGGGATTTCCTGGCTGGCTTCTGGGGTGGCAGGTGCGCTCCACAGGACATCGTGGTAAGGACCAGATCCTCGACTGTGTTTCCTTGGGGCAATTCCGCTGACTTCAAAGGAGTCTTGCTGGCATCAAACCAGCAGAAGGGTGTTAGCTCCGTCTCTCCAACTGCAGTCCCTGGCATGTCATCAACGGTGCACAAGATACATGGGGGGCAAAATCCTCAACTGGGGTGTAAATTGTAGGGGGTGGAATGTAACTTACGAAGAGAAGGAACCAGGAGTTCCTGACTCCCCCAACCCACCCACCCACCCCCAGGGCTGGTTTTAACGCTGATTAAAAATCTACCCCTGTTTCCCAGAGGCCCCAGTTCTGCTCCCGCTGGCACAAAGCAGGAGCAATTCCACTGCACCCGTGCGAAGCTGGGGCGAGAGAGAGAGGAGATCAGGCCTGGAGTTTCTAATCCTCCCTAGAACATGTCCAGTCACATCTTGGGGAAGCGCGTGCCTTGGGATTTACAGGCCGTTTGGCTGGGCCTCAGCTTCGGGATCCGATCCAGCAACCACCTCCTCTGCTGTAGCATTTACTCACCTGGTTTTCTAGGCAGCTGGTGAGCAGCTTTTACTAGTTCTAAAAGCCAAACAAAAGGAGAATCTGCCGCTGCTCTGTCCGAGGCAGAGCGTGGTGCATTTGGGGGGGGATTTTACTCTCCTCCCCGTCTCAAAAGGCACTGGTTCGGATTGTGAGCCCGGCAGAGCCCTGGAGGCACAGCTCCTGGAGAGGGCTGGGGGAGAGGGGGGAGTTTATACCACCTTTGCACCTCCCAGGTTATGGGGATGCTGGGATCCTGTTGACCACGCGCTCAAACTAGAGCAGCCCCGGGCACTGCTCTAACTGTTGCCCGGCTCCAACGGTCCCGTCCTACAGGGCAGAGTAGCTGGATTGCAGGGGGCCCGCTCCTTCCCGGAACATGCCCGTAGACTGGGAGCTGCTGTGGGAAGCAGGACAGGGCCATTACGCTGGTCCTACCCCAGCAGGCAATCCCCTTCGTGGCAGAGGAAGCCCCGGTGGGGGAGGTATGGCCAATTCCTAGCCCCTTCCTGACACCAGAGGGGTTAGTTTAGTTGCAGGGAACAGCCAGTGTTTAAAAATACTAGAGGAGGTTTTCAAAGGCAGAGACAAGCGTTAGGCACCCAAATCCCATGGGCGTCCACTGGGATTTGGGCACCTAGCTGCCCTCTGCGCTTTGAAAACAACCCATCCAGGAGGCATGTAACTGACCGCCCCCGGTGCTGATCCACGCAGACGACAGCTGGCATTTTCAAAGGGCCCTCTTGGCTGTCCGGTCTCCCCTGGAACTTCAGTGGGTTTTGGTAGCCTAAAGCCTTGATGAAATCCCAGCTAACAGTTAACCACCAGCCCGCCTCCCGTTTCCAGGCAACAGCAATTCAAGAACTGGCATTCCAGCTGGTCCAGAGCAGTGCTCTAACTCGTGCCCCGAGGGCCTGGCTTTCCAGAAAGCTCGGTTTCCATTAGGCATCCACCCAAGCGGCCGGGTTTTCAAGAATGCTCGCTGGCTGCGGAGGGCTCTTGGAAATCCGGCCATCAGCGTCACAATGGGAGCCGCTGGGGGCTGAGAACTCTCGCAAATCTGGGCCTCATTAAGATGCACCAATGCACGCTGGGGAGGACAGGCCTAGATATACTCTGCACTGATTCTCACGGTGCCTTTGCATTGGCCACAGCCTGTCGGCGTAAGATAGAGCAGCTCAGAGGTTGCTCTTAGTTACGTCCCCCTTGCTCTGGTCTCTAGGGGTCCATCCACCCTGCAGCTGGGAGCGTTGTTAGGTGTGTTAGGCAGGCTTGCACTCTAGCAGCTACCCATGCGGCAATGTCCAGGATGCTATTTTTAGCATGCTGGCTTGCGCGCGGCTAGCACGTGTCTGTCTACACCATGGGGACATATGCCAGCTGGGAATCAGCGTGGCACCACTCCACCCCATGCCCCCTACGGCGGTGTGTGTGTGGGAGGCAGTTGACACAGGAGCCAGCTACACCCCCCTCACACACGCTGGGATCTCCTCTATGCCCGGGGAATGCTCGGCTGGCTAGCGAGCGCCAGATTCCACCATTCGGGGAAGGTGTTTTTGCAAAGCAGTGGGCCGAGTTACCTTCTTTCCTCATTCCCACGCGAAAGCACTTCTTCAGGCGGCAGTACTGGCACTGGTTGCGGTGGTGCTGGTCAATCTGACAGTCTCGGTTAGACCTGTGTGCAAATCAGACAACAACATGCCATTGCAAGGGGGTAGGAAAGTGCCGACCCGAGAGGAGACGTGTGTTTTGTTAGGTAAGTACGGGGGAGGGGGAGGATGATAGGGCACGAGACTGGGGTTCAACTTACAGACTCCTTTGTGGGACCTCGGGCAGGTCACGTGATCGCCCTGTGCCTCAGTTTCCCTGTCCAATGGGGATAAGAGTGCCCTGCCACACGTTGGGGTTGGGAGGATAAATACATTAGAGATTTTGAAAGGCCCAGATACTCCAGGAATGGGAGCCTGAGGAGTATTTTAGACGGACAGACTGGGCAGAGCGTTGTATTGCATTAATGCTGGGCCTAGAGGCCTCAACAGAAACAGGGACTCCGCTGCGCCAGGCCCTGCACACATGGACAACGAGGCAGAAACTTGGCTTCGCCGAACAGCTCTCCTGGGGCACAAGAACTGCCCCGAGTTGCTGTGACCCCTGGATGAAATTCACCCCTAGGCAGAGGCCCAGCACTCGGCCTAGACCCCCCGGAAGCAAAGCATTTTTATTCAGGATGGCGCTTAAGAACGGGCTGCCCGGCACAGGGCTATGCTCAAGCACTCAAGAGCTTCCCCAGATGGGGGCCAGAGGGCTAGTCCCGGGCTGGCCCATCTGCACAGGGTGAATTGTGCCCAGGATCCATTGCTCGGGAAAGGGTCTAGCCCCCACCCCGCCAGAGTTGCTCTCCCACGAAGCTCGGCCTTCCCAGCATGAAGGAGGGGGCAGCGGAGTTTAAACTGAAAACAGCTGAGCCAGCCTTCCTTTTGTTCCCAGACGCTTGAAGAATTCCAGCTATTTCCTATGAGAACATCCCAAGCCTTTCCAGGCAGCGGAGGGGAAGGGTCACTTCTCTTCCCAGCACACACAACTCATTTACCTGCCCTGCTAAAGTAAACAGGATCATAATCCCCGCCCCATTAAAGCCTGTTGATTGCTTTCCCAGGTACTAAGCACTTACAGATTTATTTCCAGGGGTCTCATGTTCAGCTCTGCCTGCCTAAGGCCTTGTCGACATGGGCAATTTGCCTGGCTTCGCAGGGGCAATCCTCTAGGGTAGGCAGGGTTAAATCATTATCTGCCCCTGTGCAATTGTGACTCCGCTTTGGAGAAGGGGCTCATGCCGAAGACACAACGCCGGCCCCTCTGAAGTCAACGGCAAAAGTCACCGGGCCAGATCCTGAACCGTCGGAGCTCCACTGAAACCAGTGCAGGGCAGACACCGGTTCACAAGCTCCCGCCCCGCGCCATCTTCAGTGGGGCCCCACCACTGCAAACACCATCTTCGCCTGCCTTCAGCTAGACTGAAAACTGGGCAAGTCCCACAGAGACACGGCCTGGGTGACAAAAGCTGGGAGTCGGCAGTTCACCTGACCCCCCATTTACCCAGCTTTCTGCAGAATCAGCACCCCCGGAACGGTCAGTCACTGGGGAATGACCAGAGCTTGCCCGTTTCTCCTCTGTATATGGCTCCTTTGAAATGGACCAAGCGGGGCATTAGACAATGCACTGCCCCGTTAGTGTTACTGGTAATGGGGGTGGCACCCCATATTTGGTAGGCTCTGCAAACGCCTGGTCCCTGCCCCCCCAGAGCGCCCAGTGTAAGTAGACTGAAAACGAAGTGGAGAAGGAAAGAAATGAAGCCTATGAGCAACAGCATCGGCTCCTGTGTTGTTTTATAGATGGGCTATGCAGACCCAGGACGAGCCTCACGCCATTGTCTTCAAGAGAGCTGTGTGTCTTGCAGCAGTTGAGGATCTGGGCCCGAGGGAGCTTTGAGGGGAAGGTCACTGGGGGGTGGGGGGATGAATGGTGGAAAGAGCGTCTGGGTAAGGGAGGGGATGCAAGAAAGGGTGAAGGATACGAAGAGGAGGGATGAGAGAAGGCCCAACGGAGAGCCGGGCAGAGCCTGGACATTATTGTTACAGGAGTAAGAATGCTTTCAAGCACTACGGGCCCAATCGTGAGCCCCTTTCTGCAGCTCGGAGCAGGCCCATGACCGCAGCGTGACTGCACGCACCCAGTCACGGCTCGCTAGCGGGGGTCAGGGTCTCCCAACCCGGCCCGAAGCACGAGGCTTGCAAAACTCGCCCAGACGCTTTCCAGCAGCCGAGATTGATTTTACAGACTGTGCAGAGCGGTAAGTGACTCAGCAGGGTCGCTCTGATAGCCAAGGGGGGTTGAGTCAGAGCAGAGGTGGGGAACCAACCTACCAGCCCTGCTCCCGTCTTCACAGGCCCGTCTCCTGGCCCAGCGCATGTGCAAACAGGGATGAGCAAGAGAAAACGCATCCCCATCCTCATCACTTTGGGCCTTACATTTTGGGTCAACACCAGACAAGATGTGAATCGGAAAAACAACCAGAAAAGTAAACAGACAGGACCCGTAACTACCAGCCCCTGCTGCTCTGATCAGGAGTGGTTAAAAACAATGGTAAATACTAATAATTCAGGGGTCCTAAGCCCCATGAAAGCCTTCGGCCCCGATTTTGAAAAGCATCTAAGCCTGCTATGAAACTCCATCGACTTCAAGGAGACTTGCACACATTAAGGGTTTTGATGAACAGGGATGAGCAGATTCACATGCTTAAAGTTAAGCACATGCTCAAGGGTTTTGCCGAATCAAAGCCAGGAGTTCGGAGCTCGGCATAACGTAGCCTCCTGTTTCTCTTGAGCGCCATGGCCCTTTTCTGTGCGCTCAGACCCCGTTTGCCATCACATTCACGGTATGAGACGCACGTTCCCATAGTAAGAGATGTGAAGCAATGGATGTTGGGAGAACAAAACCCGGGTTTTCAACCCCTAAGAGGGAAGGCTATTTGGAGAGTCTCTCCGGGATCCAAACCCAGCACGCACACAGCAATCAGCTAGAACAGACGCTGCACCACCCCGGTGTCTGGAATCACGAGCCTTCTTCAGCCAGAGATGTTTCCTGCCCAGCTCACGACTGAACGCAATGGGCTGTTTTATTTAAGAGAAGTAAATAGTGGGGTGGGAAGGAGGCTTTAACATACTCCCAAAATCTGATCATGTGCATTCAGGATGAGTTCCCGCCCCTTGTTCTCAAATAATTTTGCAAATTGCTACCTTGAGCTTTGTTCCTGAGTAAGTAGGACATGGCAGTCGCCCCTTTGGGGCCTGATTTTCATAAGGGCTCTGCTCCCAATTAGGCAGTAAAATAAGCAACCAGATTTTCTAAGCCGCTCGGCGCATTGGGTGCAGAGGTCTTTTGAACAAAAATGGCTGGAAGCGTCACAACAGGAGCAGCTGGGAGCTGAGCCCTTTGGAAAAATCTGCCCCCGACTGTGGGCGCGGAGAGTTTGCACCTTAGTTTGTCGAGGGGGACGAGGCATAGACATGAGGATGGTATAAAAGCATGCAAATGAAGCAGAGGATTGGTTCTGACTTTATAGTTTCAACAGGATCACTAGCAAAATAACGCATGATCAAGTGAAAGGCAGGGGGAAAAAATGTAAACCATGCATGGTGGCCAGTCAATCTGCAAAGAAATCCCACCCGTTGCCGGTGTGAGTGAAAGCATTTGGTTATACCTTGGAATCCTGACATGAATATCCTAATTTTTACATGACTCCAGAGATGAGCCACGTACGGATTCGACAACCGTTCATACAGGAATTAATTTACCCTGAACCTCACCGCTGTGTTTAACACATTTAAAATGTGTTGCTGATCAAAAGTTATTCTAGTGGAGAAGCGATAAATCTAAACATCAGATGACATCTTCATCCCAGGGCTCCGTTACAGCGGTTTGGGCTGGGGCTTGAGAAACCATTTGTATCACAAATCCTTCTGTAAAGAGGGCTAGAAATTCACTACAGACAAACTGGGGTATGAATAGTGCTTTTGGTCCAATTCCATTCTGACAGCCCAGGCCAAAACCTGAGCTTCATAGAGTGAAACTGATCTCTACCAGCTGAGACTCTAGGCCTCGAGTTACAGTAAGGGCCAAAAAAAATATTTAAAAAAAGAAAATAGCTTTTTATGTTATTTTAAAACTTAAATAGTTGTATTTAAAGCCAAGAGTTCTTAGCAAGTTCTCCTAGACACACTGTAGCTATACAGGAAAATGTGAGAACACAGGAGGTGTGTATGGTGCTAATTATGCAATTAGGATGTGTCATTATTTAGTACAAGAACTAAACTGCATCCAACTCAGTTTTTAAAATTCAAATTAGAGCAATTTTGGCTTGATGTTGCTGTGAATCCTTTAAGGAAGCCCACTACAGGACTGCCTGGGGAAAGCATTGCATCTGCCCTCGCTTAGGAACGGTGTACTAAGAAACAAACATTTTTATTTCATCCTACATTTCTCTGAGTGCAAAGCGAATACACTAACCCCTAAATCTGTGCTCTGACCCAAGAGGCGAAAAAATACATTTACAGCTTTGAAGTTCCAACTGGAACGATGTGCTACTTTTCTCAATACATTTGTACCTAACTACTAAGCAACAACAGACAATCAATCTTCTTTCTTTGCAAAAACAAACATTCTTTGCGTTTGTCCCATCTGTAATTCAGAATGCTGGTACTTTCAGTAGGATACATATATCCAGTCTTCAAGTAACAAGAATAGGTAGCTCTTATCTAGTGCTTTTCATCGGTAGATATCAAAGCACTTTACAAAGTAGGTAAGCATCATTATCAGGATTTGGGGAAACAGGGGCACGGGACAGTTCACTGAATGTGTTGTGTCCACATGCCCAGAATTCATAGCGGTGGCAACATACAGCAGGTTTTTAGGATATCGCAACCTTCCAAAACCCAAAGTGCAGGGGACAAAAAATATTGCACAAAGTTTAACAGCTGCAGGATTAATTTCATGCACACAAGGTTCCTAACGTCAGTTTCACATGACAGCATTTTTGCTGTTAAGAACTGAGATAAAGAGGAAATCAATCTCACCCCCAGCTAAGAGGAGGTACCGAACGGTACATAGGGGAGTTTGAATCTGGGCCACACGAACTGAGAACAGAGTGGGTCAGAAACGGCACGATAAATACAGCAGCACAACTTGTTCTTTAATCAGGTTTGAGTCTCATGACTTCCACCGTGACCAGGACTGTGAATGACTATTTCTGTTAATATAGACACTCAGATGCAATTCTGAGGAAATCACTTGTGTACCCAAGCTGGTAGGTAGCCATTCTTATAGAATCTTATGGAATCTACTGGTTTAGCAAGTACCGTTATGCAAAATTTGATTTGCAAGAACGCCTAGGGCTTGTTACAGTACCATACATGCATGTGAGCCTAGATCTGCCTTGTATTTACTTCTCTGCCTTGAAAAGTATTTTTCTTCTAAGAGGAGTCAAGGCCACTAACCAGGTACTGTACCCCTATTGATTTTAAGAGTTACTCCCGATTTACACCGGAGCGAGAGGAGAATCGAGCTCCGTAACAGAAGGGGATTTGTGCTTTTGGTTCGAATTAGCCGCCACATCAAGTTTTTTAAAAGGCTGCTTTCCGCTGAGGCGCTGGGGAACATAATGATTCATAATAACAACCACTGCACGTTTGCAGAGAACCGTACAGCCATTAATTAATTATCTGCCACGCTAGCTGGAGACGGGAAATCTAACCACAAGGAAGAGCCTGCACAGCACCCTGCACCGTGTCTCATCACCGGCGCTGGTGCAAGGCACCACATGAGAGGCCAGGCACAGGGCCCATTTTGCACTGGGGTAAATGGCCGCACAAGAGCAGGCCTGGGGCAAGGGAGGTTGGGGAATCTCCCTCATTGGAGAGCCGGTTAGGCAAACACCTGTCAGGGATGGGGTCTAGATAGTACTCGGTGGTGCCATGAGGGCAGGGACTGGACTAGATGACCTCTCGAGGTCCGTTCCAGGCCTACAAGTCTCTGATTCTAGCGGTCAAACCCAAGCAGGCCCCAGGCCCGCCAGGTGAGCCCCTACCTGCAGGTGTAACTCAGGTTCCTCCGGATGCTCCGCTTGAAGAAGCTCTTGCAGCCCTCGCAGGTGAAGACCCCGTAGTGCTTCCCGCTGGACTTGTCCCCGCACACCGTGCAGTCCACCTGGATGCCCGGTTTGTCCTCGTCCCCGTGCTCCTGGTCGCTCACCCCGCCTTGGGGCGACACCGAGTCCTCTTCGGAGGTCCTGGGGTAACCCTTGTCCACCCCGTTGGTGTCTCCGTTCGGGTCTCCCCAGCCTCCAGCCACCATGGCCATATCTCCGTGGGGCAGCCCGAGGAATCAGCGATGCCTTCCAATGGGAAAAACAAATCAGCCGGGGGTGGGGGGGAAAAGAGAGCAAAAACTAGCGAGTTAATGGTTATTTGGCGCAGGAGGGGAACTCCGGCCCGGTCTAGCCGCCCTATCGCTGCGTGGCTCCGGGCTGTGACCCTCCACCCGCCCCGTTAGTCCGTGGGGCTGCGCTGGGGCAGGAGCGTTGAAAATTCCAGAGGCCCGAGCCCCTTTACTCTGCCCCCCAAAGCCGAGCTCGGCCAGCCCCACCTGGGGAGCAGCCGGCGCCGGAAAAACAAGTCCAACAAGTTTGTCCAGCCAGGGGCGGGTGCGCGGGGGCTCGCCAGGCGCAGGTCCGGGCAGCGCGCAGGGCAGCGCGCAGAGAGCGGCTAAGGGCGCATCCCCCTGCAGCCCCCGGGGCACGGGCGAGCCGACGCGCTGCTGCAGCGGCCGCTGCCCCGGCCGGAGTCTCCGCCAGAGGCCGAGCGCCCGGCGGAGCCGGGTCCCCGCAGGGCTGGGGGCGCGCCCGCCCCCCGCGATCGCCCCTACGGGGCCCCCCGCCGCCGGGGCTGCGTCCACATCGCGGGCGGCGCGGCCGGCACCCCCCGCTCCGCCTCCTGCTGCTGCGGGGCTGGAGCCACCGGGCCCCTCCGCCGGCCTCCCCGAAGAGCAGGGCTCAGCCGCCGCCGCGCTGCTCCTCCTCCCCGGCGGTCCTCCTCCCCTTCCGCTGCCTCCTCGGTCCCGCCCCTGCCCGGCCCCTTCCCTCCGCCCGCTGCCCTTCGTCCCCTTCCCTCCCCCTCCCTCCTCCTCCTCTCCCTTCCCTCCTTCGTCCTCCTCTTCCCCTTCCCTCCCCCTC